TGGATGAGTGGCGTTCATCAAAAGGTGGACTGTCAACCCTTAACAGAGAGCTATGCAAAGGACTGGCTAAACAGCGTGATGTATCGGTGACCTTGATTGTGCCAGAGTACACTGAGAGGGAAAAGGAAGACGCCTTAAATCATGGAGTAAACCTTACCAAGGTCGATAAAATGACTGGTATTGAAGGTATCCAATCGTTGTCTTATCCACCCGATGAATGTGAAATCGACGTAGTAATGGGTCATGGACACAAGTTGGGAACACCAGCTAATGTCTTAGCGAAGAAACGGAAATGCAAACGAGTGCACGTTGTGCACACCTCAAGTGAAGAGATTGCGATGTTCAAGAAAGGTCGGCATGAGATGACGGACGGCGAAAAGAAGCACGAACTCGAGGTAGATCTGAGCAAGACTGCTGATGTTATTGTGGGTATAGGACCCAAACTCACCGAGTCCATAAAAAGCAGCCTTCGACCACACAAGAAGGATAAAGACGTTATTGAATTTACGCAAGTTAGGGTTGTATTGCTACATACACCTTGACAATTAAACGTCCTAATCTCGTCACCAGACTCTCTATTCTTACCAACTTTCGTGGGGGTACCTTTTGTCGTAGCTACCGACACAAATCACCTTGACGTAGCAGCCAATACATGGCTTGTTGGTCACGTACCCAGTTCTTGGCACTTCGCCACAGAATATGTCTGCCATTTCGGAAGCGAAAGAAAAAGTTTCATTTTTTTTCTGTATTAAACGCCTTCTTACACCTCAACAAGAAAATTGACGACGCTCCAAATATTTCAATCTCGTTACCAAGGTCTCTCTTCTTTACAACCACGGGGGGCCTGTTGTCGTACGGACGCAAATCATCTTGACGTAGCAGCCATTAGATGGTGGGTTGGTCACGCTGTTTTTGTCGCTTCGCTACGCAATATTGTCCGCTACAGCGGAAGCTAAAGAAAAAGTTTCACCTTTCATCTATGCTGAACGCTTTCGACGTCAAGGAATTCGAAAGAGAATCCGTAAGTTTCGTTCCTTTTTTCGTTTTTGCTTTTGTCAATGATCAGCAACTTAAATCTCGCCTAGAGCGATTCATGCATTAGGTATGACAGCCTTCGGTCTTTCGCTTCGGTCTTGAATTTTTGCAAACTGAAGGACCTAATGGGAAGATGAAGTCAACAAAACGATCAAAGGACTAAGAGTCACTTCTCGCCGCTTCCTTTTCCTCAATCTGTACGATATGTCTTCAAAAAATATCATAATGTTGACATATACAACAGGTCTAATTTCATCTGCGACCGTGCATGGATAAACTCTTATATGCCACTAAAACAGGATTTACATTTTGATCCCCTCGATCAATGGATACAAGAATAACAAATGAATTCACAGCGATTCTGATCATGACATATCCTGAGCTTGCTGTCTTAACCATTTTGTATACCAAAAGTTTGAAACTGATG